GTTCTCCAATGTTGGCGAAACCCAGCCGGTTTGAACCAGCTCTCCAGTGCTTACTAGCTATTCATCTCACGATTCATTTCCGCAGCGACTTTATCCTTTAAAATGGTACTTGTGTTCTTCAATAGAGAATACCGTTCATTTCGTCCAACGTGGTTTGATGTACGCAATCCAACAAGTGACGTATGATAGCCGAATCAGCGATCCCTTTGTGGGGATCTTAGTAGCATGGGATTGGTTGGATTTACTTGAAGTTGCAACGGTTTAATTGAAGTTGGAAAGATGCAGTTTCAGCTTAGTGGTATGAGATTAGGTGTTGTAGTGAGCGCTCATAGGTAATTTATATACGGCTCCGATTTGGGTTGCCTGCAAAGCATGAATTGGTTACAGAAAATTTAAAAATTTCACATTATTTTAATTAGTAATCACTTCATTATGACAAACTAACTTCATTATCGGTAGTTGTTGCTCCCGCGTACAACTATGCGTTTCAGAATCTTACAACCCAGATGACACGACGAGACCCAATGGAATTTTTGTCGTTCATTCGCTTGCAGTAATAATTCCCTGTATCAGACCTATCAAAGTTGCAAATTTTTATATTTACATCTTTGTAATTCAAGTTGTTTCAGTATCATTTCAAATCGTCACAGTATTATTTCAAGGTGTCTTTATATTATTATTTTGAACCGCTTCAGTGTCATTTCGAACCGTTTCATTAACCTGATTAGCGCTGCTAGGCCCATGTGATGTTCAATCCTTCTAGTTATGTCTGGATGACCACCATGCAGCACAGATTACTTGACCTTCAGCTGAAGCACCGGAGAGATGATTGTGAGACGCACCTCGTTCGCACACGCTTAAATCCCCAGGGCAAATCTTGGTTGTTTGCCTTGCTAATACCCGTACGTGTCTGCGTATGTGTCCCATCCCCTCTTCATGGGGACTCACACACCATAATCCACTGACAGCAATGGATATTTCCGACGCTACTCGCATGATTTTGCTAAAGGATTCATGAGCCGCAACTCAAGTGACTGCAACAAGACACCAATCGATCACGATTGATCGATATAAGCTTCACTGTTATCCAGATTCAAACTCAGTTTGTTCGCCGCTTGCGAATTCTACTCCATTTATGTGTTACCACCACAGAAGCACATTCAAGCACTGAGAAATCAAATGACCATTTACGAAATTAATTATTTATTGCCTCCACTGTTTTTGCTTCAAATACAGTGCTGCGGTAGACAGAGACTTACGAATATTCACCACGGAGTTTGATCAGTTTTTGAATATGATCTCACATTAATGAAATGTGCTACTAGAATATTGAATG